TGCAGATAAGTTCAAGCACATCTTTTGCTACACCCAGAAATAGGAAACTATTAATCCTAACCGAAGTGTTTAAGTTTCCAGTATAGTCAATAGAGAAGAAGGTGCCTCTGGAAATCTCTACATGGAGATTGTCTGCCTCATATTGTCAGATATACACAGTGGTATTTTCTACTGTGGCAGGATTTTCTAAAATTAGGAAGTCTTTATTTCACCTGTTAATATGAGCTCCAAGGAATGGCTATTATTTTCAAAAAAGTATCTCTCTGAGATTATCTTTTAAAAGAAGAAATACATTGAAATGACCAAGATCCAATTGCCTGTAATCACAGCACCAAAATATCATACTTACTTCATAACCTTAGTATGAAGTAACCTAAGTATAACCTTACTTAGTAACCTTAGTACTTGCAGGCAAGATAAATCATGTTTTTAAATTATTGGGGAAGAAAGAAAAATAATTACCATTATTATCGCTGCCATATGCAACTGACTTTGCTTATCATGATTGCCTATTAAATAAGAGTGATAGCTACTGATTTCAGTACATAAGAGAATATGCACTGAACCCATTGTTGGCCTACCGTGAAGATAAATGAATGAGGAAGAGCCCATCATTTAAAAAGCTCTCCAAAACACCAGACTGTACAAGTAAGGATTTTTACAAAAGAAGGTGACTTTGTCAAACCCTTTTCATCACTGACTGGTTCACCTGAATTCATGCTAGCTCCTCTAATTGTACTTCACTGCTGGGAGTACGAACCTGTGGAGTCCAGAGCACAGATTATAGCAGTCAGGGTCCAATGGAATCAAAAGTGCTATTGATTTTTGGTAAATCCACTATTTACAGAAAAAGAAGGAGGTTTACTGTGAGCCTCTCACAAAGGAGAAATGACATATGGGCCATTGTGGCATATACTGAAAACGTCTCTGCCATAAAGTCTGTGAACTTAACCCTAGCACAGTAGCCCAGAAACCAAACCTTACTGGGAAGAGATGTTCTCCTTTAAGCAACAAATTTAAGCAATGAGTTTAAAATTTGTAATTAATAGAACCTAGAAAACAGAGACTATGTTTAAGCACCAAACATTTACATATTTTGAAGTAGATTCTTGGCTCGGGATTTTTACATGCTTGTATATCTACCCAGTAAGAAAAGAGGAAATACTAGGAAACCCTTATTCGTTTCTGCAGTCAGGTCAAAATAGTATTTGATCTATTTTCTCATGTACACATTAAAGATGAACAGGAAGCAAATTTTAATGTATCTGTTCTTCTTTTGCTACTTGATAATATTTAGCCATTTGACAATAAATATGTATAGTCTGATTTTCTGAAAGCTTGCTAGGTCCTCCTTGAATGAGCCCTCCCTTTACATCTCCAAATATTAACTTCACTCCTACTCTCCTGCTCAGATCATTGAAAGTACAAAGAAAAAATGTAGTGCAATTCGTGAGAAAAGGGGTCATCTGCTTTGATGACAAAGAGAAAGTAGCATTTCAGAAGACAATGTATTTCTTCTACCTCTTCATAGCAGAGATAGTTACTTTTTCTGTTCTAGAAGGGCAAAATATAATCAGGATGTATTTCTGAATCTGAGTTTAATTATGTACTCTAAATACCAGACTGTTCATCCTCTTCAAACTAGTCTTTCTATAATTTACCTTTTTTTTTTTTTTTTTTTTAATGATTAGAAAAGACTACATAATCATAAAATCAGAATTGTGTCAGGAGCTCCCCAAACGTTTGGACATATCTTTTTGAGTTCCTGACTCTCTGAACTGTACCTAAGGTCTCAATCATTTCACGAAAATTAAAAACCAAACAAATAAAAACATATCCTAAGTACATGCACTTCAGACCAACTCAGACACCTGCAAAAGCAAAAGGCTTAATTTTGCAGCAGACGTTAGGTTGTTTTATGGTTTGATAATTCTGTGGTGCAACATACCCTTTGAAAAAGCAGAATGTAGTAGTAGAATAAGAAGATACAGTGTACCTGCTAACTATTTGTTAGAATTAGAAAAGGACACATTTCTAGTTTGTGTTTTCCAACTGGCATCCTCTTGGAAAGGGCTCAGAAATATGACACAAGGTGAAATTCTTCAGATCAGGCACTTAACTGCAGGTGTTTACAATGTAGATGCCAACATGTGGGCAATATACCCAAACTCATTTTATATAGTCTGAGGCTAAAGACCTACTCTTCTTATCCTGAAGCACACACCCAGATTTGGCCAAATGAACAGCTCTCTAAGTTTCATGAACTAGACCTGCATATGAGGGAAGCTTAAACACCTCAATGTGTGTGTTTGATTACAGAAATGAATCCTATCCCAGCTGCAAATAAATGTTTTATGCTATCACTGATTACATAACATTTCAGTGCATTTCACCATATTTATTGTGTGAAGTACCAGAAACAAAACCTCTGATTCTTTTCTGGATACTGATATTCACCACATGTTAGAGGCTTTTCATTTCTGAAGGTCTTGGTACCATGACAGGCTATACAAGCAGAAGAAAATCAGACTACACTTACACACAGCTCTAACCATGATTGGAAGGAAGGGCCATATCCTCCAATAGCATCATGAGACAGAGAGCAATGCTGCTTTGATATTTTGTATGGTGTTTAAAGGCTGATGTGAAAGGTCATATAAACCTGAATTACCACTCATTTCCATTTCCTAACGCAGAGATCAAATTGCCACATTTCATGCTCCATATAAAACACAAATAACAAAAATGGACTTATTAGAAAGCAAGGTTACAGCAACATGGAATTTTTATAGAAATATATATAGTTCCCTACACAAGTAGAAGGTTACACATCATGTTGCCAGCCTTAAAACTAAATTAAAGTATATAAACCTTTATAGATTACAGGAATTATTAATTATGAAAAGTAGGACAAATATGATTTTTTTCTACAAAATTACCTGTTAAAGTTTATGTATTGCATAATACTACTCAGATAGAGTGCTGGAATTAAGTAGATAGAACTAGGACTTATACACAAGAGGTGACACCACAATCCATTAAGCTCCCCTTATTTAATCTCTCCTTCGCAAGCTTAATATGTGATTCATCCTTTTCATATCACAAAGGACAAAAAGGTGATCTTTTGTATTTGAATCTCTAATTTACCCTCCCCATCCTCCTTTTCCAAGCAGTAAAAGCTAGAGAAGAAAGCTTTTTCTGCAGTTTCTTCAGACCTTTTATCTGAGGAAAAACAGTTATATATTGGGTCTCTAAGGTATTTGATGGTCTCTTTATCCACTGACCCTATTTCCATACTCAGAGCTACAAGAAAGGAAACTATGATATAGAAAGATAATATATTTGCAAGTTAGTAGGACTTGCAGTATGTAGATTATAAGTTCTTCTTTCCAAGACCCTCACCAGTCTTCTGGGACAAGGACAAATAAGCTCTGAAAATGAAATGCCTTATAATGGAATTGTTCTATTCCATTTCTTTAGATCCTCACCTAAGGAGGAAACAACACAAATCCTAGCCTCTAGAGGAAAACAATACAATAAACTATACAGTGCAGGTTTAATATCAAAGGACAACATTCCTGACAGATAAAAGACCTTGAGACTTACCCAGTAAGATTTGCAACATATTTCTTTGTAGAGTAATTTTTAGTTCTTAATTAAGTCATAGCATCTATTTGGAAGCAAAATTATATTTATTTTCTTACCATGGTAGTCACAATTTTAATAAGAAGTAGAGACAAAAGCATGCTGAAGCTGGAGGGCTAAATACAGTATTTTATTTTAGGAGGAAGGAAAAATGACTGCCTTTGAGCTTGAATCAGGATTCCACTTATCCCAGAGAACAACCCTACAGATGGAAAAGATTCTATTTATTTGTTTATTTACTATTTCACCAATTCTGTCCTTTTGTTGTCAGTTATTTTTTTACCAATAGAGAAATAAGAACCCAGAGAGTTCACCATGAAGTTATCAGTAATGTTAGAATGGCTTGCTTATTTCAACTCAAGAAACCATTTTGGAAACTGTACTTAAAAGCAGCTGTCAAGAAGATGGAAAAACAAAATTAAAGGAGCAGTCTTTAAATGGAACTAAATGCACTAGGCAAGGAAGAGCTGATTAGAGAGAGGTAGAGAGAGGTAGAGAGGTAGAGAAGGGGAATGGAGAAGGTAAGGCTGCCAAGCTTGCATGGCCTCCCTGAACAGTCTCTTTTCACCAGTGCAGATAAGAGGTTGCTGGACTAGATGGGTCCATGACAAGAAATGCTAGTAAAGTAGTTCTTATCATTCAGGCTTCAGAGCATGGTGGAAAATTTTATTTTCTAACTGAAATACAGAATTGTCAGCAAACTTACTGTTGCTTTCAACAGAGTCAGGTTTTCGTCCTGTAGTTATGGCTATCCATGATACAGATGATAACAGTATAACAAAACATACATGTAATCTTAAATGTATTACAGTTCTACAGTTGTGCAGGATCATATTGGAACTGACTGCTTTATAAGCCTTAAATTTAGTAACTCACAAATATTCAATGAACACCAACTTGTTTAGCAAGCACACTATTCAAACTTTCTAGTGTTTCTATCTGATTAATAAACAATAAACCTTGCAGCCAGACTGATTAAGAAAGAATCTCAATTTAGTATAGATGGATGAGGGAAATTATGTTTTACTGTTTTTAAATGTTAACCCAGTTAATATCCCTAAATTATTCTGTTTGTTCTTCTGTACACTTAATGAAATGCTATACTGGTACTCACAGGTACAGGTGGCCCAGCTGACAAATTCTTACTTCCTACACTTCTCTACCATATGCAAATTTTTTGACTACATCATTTCCAATAACTGAAGTGAGAGGGAGCAGATTTTTCTTTTTCCTGGTGTTGACATACATTGAGCAATGACTTGAATTAACAATTACCCTTTAATGTACAGTAAATTCATACTTTCACTAGAGTTGCCTTTAATATTATATTATATTTATAGGTAAAAGAAGCTTACCTGAATTATATGTTTCAGCTTGTCGATAATTTGATTTATTACAGGATCTGTTCCTTTCACTTTTACTTCTGGATTCCCAAACTGAGCTTTGATTCCACTGCCAACCACGCGAAGAGTATAGCTATTTCAACACACAAATACACACACAAAGATGATTTAGTAAGTTATTCTGCTCTCAGAGAGTCATCTTCTAGTTCATATTAACTCAATTCTCATGGCACCAACATTGCATTTTAATGAGATGCATTAATTTTGTGCACATATTTTTAATAGAAAAGAAATATAGCAGAATATAATTACTTCATTCCACAAAGTTGTGTTATTTATTGTTGCTTTAATTTTACTGCAAACTTTAACAAGAAAAGAGTTGTTTACATTTTGAAGGAAGAAACATTTATCTCTGCATATTTTTTGTGTATGAACTGTCCTTCATTTTGGTTTTGTTAAATACAAGTGAAACAGTGATTATCTAAAAGCATGACATATCAGGTTAAAAACAAAACAAAACAAATAAGTAAAACCATCCAGAGACTACACACATGGTAGGTTCAGAACTATATCTGAAGTTTTCCAGTGTTTTTTGTGAATGCACATGCAGCTACAATATTTACTACAGGACAATAGACAAATTATTATTTGCATATATTATTTGACATTACATAACTGATACAAGTACAGAGAAGGACAAAATTTACTTCATAGACAGATATGTGCAAAAGAAGCAATGGAAGCCAGATATATTCTCATTCAAGAAAGAATTTACATAGTAAGTAAAGCATTGGTTCTAACATGCTAATATATCAAAACTCAAAATATAGACACTAAAATTAACCACTTTGCAGAATTCTGTGGCTTATGAGGATGCAATTCTACATTCAACTTCCTATTTTTTAGGTAATAGTCAAGTTATGCAAGAAAAAATGAATTGCTACATTATCACAAATACCCATTATGCAAATACCCTCCATATGTTATGTTTTGTCTGCATACTCTGCAAGAGGATAGCTCTATATATCTCTGTCTCAAAACTATTTTCCCAGCTGCTAAGCTGTAAGAAAAAGAAAGGAAAGACCACTATGAGGAATGGAGTACAGAAATGCCTAATTCCTGCCTACCATTACTACATATGAGCAACACAGTGTATTTGAATTCAGCAGAAGCTGAGTTTTATGAAAAACATTGCAAGACCTCTAAGCTCAACAGGAAACCTTCCATATATGAAGCAACCATAGGAAGATTAGTCTGCTGCCTGAGTTTGCAGAAAGATGTGAAGTATAACTCTGAGGGGCAAGGACTGTTTGCCTTTTGGCCGTCATATATGGAAAATGCCCAAGGAGAGCACTTTAATTTTTCATGTATTTGTTTATTTATTATTATGGTGAAATTGAGAAAAGGAATTACCAAAAGGATGAAGGGGGCTATGAGCTGAGTTATCATTAGTGGGAATTAGCACACAGAAAAGAATATAGAAAGAAAATGAGAGGAAAACTAAAAGGGCAAGAACAAAGAAAGAAAAAAAGGAGGATGTGAAGAGGAAAAAAAAATAACACTTGCAAAGTATAAACATGTTTTCCCCACTTAACTGTATTTAAGAGAATGCTAAATACTGAATGCCGGTCAATAAAGCCAGGTTACCACATAGCAACATTTTTTTGTCATTGATCTTTGCTTAAATATCACCTTAAGTGAGACTGAGGATATTTCTAAGGAGGCATACAATGGTCCAGATACCATTCCTAAAGTGACATTGGCCTTGTTCATGTATATAAATTTACTCTGTCATACAAAATGACTTGTTTTCCACAGGAATCAGAGAGTAATTCGCCTTCATACAAATACATCGCTGCATGTTATATTGAGGGCAAATATTCTATTTCTTTTGCACTCATTCGAGTATGTAAATATACCAAATTTAAATTCAATTATGTATCAAGATATTGCATCAATGATTACCTGGAATTAGTCACAAGTTAAATATCCCAGCTTTTTTCACTCTTCATTAGAGCAAATACATTGTCAGCTGTATTTAGCTAAATTAAATACTAAAGTAATATGCCCATTACTAAAGCCCTTACTGAGTCTGTCACTAATTCACGAGCCATACTATAACTTGGAATAGATGTTAATACTGCACAATTAAGATGGCAAGGCTTAATGAGCATAATATAGTTCACTTGAACATGGTAGTTGAAATTATTTAAAAAAAAAAATCTTCATAGCAGTGTTGAATACACTTATTATATGAATGGCTTGTATTCTCCACAGTGAAGTATTTTGGTTTATTTGAGAAAGTATTGATTTGAGAAAATATTTAACACTGCAATTTGAGTAGAGTCAACAAATTTTCTGGTAGCTCCAAAGAAAATGAGAGGAGAGGAGAGGAGAGGAGAGGAGAGGAGAGGAGAGGAGAGGAGAGGAGAGGAGAGGAGAGGAGAGGAGAGGAGAGGAGAGGAGAGGAGAGGAGAGGAGAGGAGAGGAGAGGAGAGGAGAGGAGAGGAGAGGAGAGGAGAGGAGAGGAGAGGAGAGGAGAGGAGGAGAGGAGAGGAGAGGAGAGGAGAGGAGAGGAGAGGAGAGGAGAGGAGAGGAGAGGAGAGGAGAGGAGAGGAGAGGAGAGGAGAGGAGAGGAGAGGAGGAGAGGAGAGAGAGGAGAGGAGAGGAGAGGAGAGGAGAGGAGAGGAGAGGAGAGGAGAACCTCTTCAATGCTTTACTTTGGAAATCCATCTGTCTTAGTCATTTGTGTACATCAAAATAGATAATTCAGAATGGATTTACAAAGCTCACCTCCCTTCTTCCCTCCCCTCCTTCCTTTTCCGGATGAATAGTGCAATACAAGTGCTAGGACAAGTGCTTTAACTAAGTACAGGAATTTTTCTTCATACTATAACACTATAAGAAATTCTTAAAAGGGTATGGATATCCATCCTTTACAGTGCTCTCATTTTCTGTATTGCAGCATGCAAAACCTATATTCCTCTTACTTTTTGTCCCTCTTACTTTCTGTCACTGAGTTTTTCAATTAACACCTTTTATGAAATGCTGTAAAACCAAACTATTGTATATTTGTCTATAAAATGGAGAACCATGTGAAAAAGAATACCTTTTTTTTTTTTTTTATTTAATTCAATTGATAATACTCATTTCTCTAGCCATGCAGAAAGAAATAAGCCATTGATTTGGCTACAATTTTATTAATTTAGCTCAGCTGGGAATTATCTGGCAATGACTCATTCAAAGCTGACTATCATTCTATTTTCATTTATTTTCACAATGAAATCTGCACCTTTGCACAACTGGTCTTTACTATAGGACTAACTCTCTTCCTCCATTTGAGGGAAAGGGACACTGTCTTGAGAATGAAACAGGTACTAGGAGCGTCAGTCATGTTCCATAAGCTTTTCAGAACTTTCATCCTCTTACGTTCTTCTTCAGTACCAATGTATTTATTTGGGCTAAAAACTTACCTGTAGAAAGTGTTAGGTACTTCTCTCCCACTCCTTGTCATGATGTTATAGTTGATTTTCCATATTCTCTCAAAGACAAGATTTATTTCTGCTCCCTAGGCAGAGAAGTCTAGTTTTGTTGTTGTTGTTCTTGTTGTTTTGTTTTGTTTTTTTCTACATGATTGATTCTCCTCTCTCATGTAAGAATAAAATAAAATAATAAAATAAAATAAAATAAAATAAAATAAAATAAAATAAAATAAAATAAAATAAAATAAACACTCTTTTTCAAATTTACACATTTTCAATGTTTTAAACCTTGTGTGGTCCAATGGCTCTTCACTGTTTTGGTTTGGAAGTTTTAAGTCATCCTAGAAAGAGGCTCTAATTCCACTTGAATATTCTCTCAGTTTTGATGGCTAAGCCAATTCCTATACAATGTTCAGATGTTCATACCCACTGCACTGCTCACAGTAAATCTCATTCAACCTTTACCTCTTTTGTTCTCTTTTGTGAGAAATGCATCTCTGTACAGAAAGCGGATATACAGTATGGATGGGCATGCTCTAGTCTGGGAATATCCCTGTCCTTCATTCTTTTGCCTGCCCGTGCAGCTTTGTAAAGAAATTGACTTTGGTAAGCATTTTATTCTTTTACAGTAACTATCAGGCTACTTTTCCTTCCTGTTGGGAAGGAAATCCATTCAGTCACTTGCCTGTCAAAGAACCTACTCACATTAGTTACCTAAGCTGCGCCCTTGCTGACTGATCTGAGGTAGGGTTTGCTCTTCCAGTTGAGAGTGGGGAAGGGATAAAAGCTGAAGCAGAGATGGCAAGTGAATTGATGCAGCAACAAGCAGCACACTAATGCTTGGTAATACCACAATTTTAAGTGTGTTAGAATTGAAAAAGTAGATCTTTAGGTACTAGAAGTAACAGGCTCTGTATTGTTTGGTGTTACTTGCTCTGAACTGTTTAGCACCATTCTTTCTACGTTCTTTATATCTCTTGGCCTTTCTCTGACCCGTGGCTGGTGTGATCCATTCCATCTCTGAGAGAAGTGATTTTATGATTCCAAACCACCTACACTACTCCTCCTCTACAACTATATTCCTAAGCAGAGTAGAGCACCTCCACAAACAAAACCTTCATAAATGCACTGTCTGCCACCAAAATAGTTCAAAACTTGCTCTGTGACAACTGACACATTTTAGCCCATCCTTCTGACATTTTTGTCCATTGCAGGCCTCATCAGACTGCAAATAACACACAGGGTTACAGCCATAGTAAACACAAAGAAAGCTTTATGTCCACGATTGATACAATCACTACTCATTTCAAATGCTTCTGATTTATCTTCAGGTCTTGATTTATCTTCAGGTCAAAAAAACACTTGTTTGAATGGAACAAAAATAATAAAATATCATTTTTGAAGTTGGAAGCAAGAATGATTTTCTCCAAATTTGACAATACTGTCTTTGTGTACCAGTTCACAGAATAAATGTTAAACTGAGTTTTTCACAATGCATTGCTAAATGACGGAGGTCTCAGTATAGAATACATTGGAGTAAATGAACCCATGTGATTGCATTTTTTCCTGATATTGGAAGTCCTAACCCATATTAAATCTACCTTCCCTGCAAAGTGATCTGGCTTTGAGCAATTCATATTAAAACCCATCC